TTTATCTAGCTACATTTTAAGTCTTATAATTAAACTTTAAATCCTGTATTTTTAAGAACTGGAACAGTAACATCAGCAATTTATTCCACAGACTTTTTATATTTAAAGTACAATAAAATACTTGATTAAAATATAAACGCTACCAGCACTAAGGGCTAGAGAGATTCTCTCTGCCATTGGGTAGAAGAATTCCTTACATATCACACATAAGCATGGCTGTTAACCATGTAACCAGAACACTCACTGGCTGTTGAGAGTGACAGGACCTGTCAGACCAGAGCAGACGGCTGCTTTAGCTATGTAGTTTGCTGTCCAAAAAGGCAATTATTGACTAGTCCATAGGAAAGCACAAAAGCCATGGAACAGGCTATAACTAAATCATTTCCTCAAATCGAAATTCTTTGTTAGCCTGATTGGTGTTTGGTTCATTTACTGAAGCAAAGAGCTTATTGGTGTGGAGGTGGGAAGGGGAAAATGATGGGATCCCATTAAAGTGCACACAGCAATTCCCATTTATAAGCCTGTTGAATTCTACGGGTTTGGCCCTTAGTTTTACAGTATTTAAAAAAATGGATCTCCAATTTCTGCACTGTTTTGGGGAATATGGCTATCTAACCTAACCTCCACTTTTTATTCAACATTTTGAATATTGTTAATTACATTCTTAACAACAGAATGTTGTAAGAAACAATTCTAGGATCAAAGAGGTATATTCATAATTATTATAAATGATAAAATTATTACTGGGCATATCATGATCTTTCCAGAACTCCTGAACTCTAAGTTTAAATTTTCAAAACCAATTGCCAGTTTGAAACCTATATAAACATACTATAGCTTATATACAGTAAGAATATCAAAGGTCTTGCCATCCTATTAGCTTGGATGTTTGTTTAACTCTCCCTCTTCAAGGGCTGTCAAGAAGAAAGTTACAAGTGTTTCTGCTAGCAGTATCTTTTCTGGTCTGTGTCCTATTCTGTTTTAAGAAGGAGACAAGAGCATTCTCAAAACATCATTAAATCAAGTTTCAATCAGCAACACAGGTTGAAGGATACCACATGCAGCAGTACCAATGACACTACTTACTGCAGGTTTCAGAGGAAAAAAGCAGTTTTTGCACACTTTTGCACATTGTGACAAGACAAGAGTAAAGGAGATCTGCTTCTGATGTATTCAAACTCAACCTCTTCCACTTTGAGTATTACAGACAGCTCTTACTGTCGCACATTCTCTCACACAGCTAACCCTTAAGGTGCTACTTGATTCATTGCTGAATCTAAGTGTCTCAGTCTGAAGAAGTGCAGCTTTTCAGTGTCTGAATGCTCCAAGAGTATTCCAGCTGCATCTATGCACAGCTTAATTTACCTTGGTCTTGCTAACAGATCAGAAGATCTCAGAACAGTGTGCTAGCATTCCTAATACTATTAATCTCCTACACCAAACACAGAGAATTATGCTCATATGCAAAACTTGAATTTTGTTTATTGATTACCAGGAACTGCAGCATTACATACATCTGATGATGTACAAAGTCTCAGTCTTATCATCATATGAATATGAATCAATAAAAGTGGAGTTGGAAAGTCCTCTTTGGTGTTCTGCATTGCTCTCTATTTGGTGTACTCTTTTCTACATTTGGCTACATATAATCTTGTCACCAGTTCCACAAAATTTTCACGTTTCCTCTGGTCTTCTACCTCTTTTACCCCAACTTTGTTCCTTGCTGCTTTAATATACTGTATTCCTAATTATACATTACTGGCTATTACTAATTGCTATGTTATATAACTGGATTTTTCTGCCTTTTTTGTAGGTCATTTTTTTCTCCTAGTAAAACAAATAAAATGAGCCTCCTGATACTTTGAGGTTTCAATGTGTGTCATCTAGTTCCAGTCTCTATTTTACCTTTGTTCTCAAAGAAAGCAACCATTTTTCACTCCTACATAAATCCAGCCCTCTTTAGTTTGGCACTGAATACTTTTAATTACTCATACCCTTTTGCAGTGGCTAATACGGCCTAACTTGATGGAATTCTCTCTCGATTCTACATTTATTTCACATTGACTGCAAACACTTCTAGATTTCCACATACAAGAAATATCTTCTCTCATTTTTCTCAGTAGCAACAAAGCTTTTCAAATCTCCCTAGTCAATCCACTGGGTACATTCCAGCCATGGGAACAAGGAGAGAGGAATAGCATGATTCCTTGCACCCTCTGTCGTATATCTTATTTAGTACATATCTGCTAGTACTCAATATTCAGAAACAGTTGTTCCAATACCAGAAATACTTTTACTTAATCCTGAATGCCCATACTGATTTTCCTCTCATGTGTCCTTAGTTGTTAATACGTTTATATGAAAATCAAGTATGTTGCTTGCTTTCCTTATGTCTGTGCTGAAATCATACTTAAGTAACATCGACATTCAAGGAAATAACTCTTTTATGCGATATATTACCTGTCAAACTCATGTATACAAAATATAATGCAGAATACTTAGTTTCAAAAACGTAATGAGGCATGTATATAAATAATAAAAATGCAGCTGCAATTTTACCAATCATGAGGAAAAAAGAGAAAATCAATTTCATATTTCAGCAGCTTCTAAGAATATATGTCTAGAAGTAAACTTTTCCCACAAGTTTCTTAGCGTCTGACTATGCACCAAGAAATGAATGCACCTTCCTCTAAAGCCTCTAGTACTGACTTCTAAAGGTAGAGCAAAACTAGAGGTATAACACAGGATGTCTATTTTAATATTTTAACATTTAATGTTAGCTCCTACTTTTATCACTTTTGCTTTCTCAGAAATGAAGGATATTTTTTCTTAGCTTAAAACATATGGTTGCTGTAGACCTCCATTTAAAGAAAGAGAACAGAAAGGTAAAAGCAAATTCCATGTGCTAGCTTTCCTGAATGTCACTTAATGCTTACTTAATGGAATTTTTCTCAGGGATGGCACACTTGACTGTCAGCTTGTGCCAGTTAACAGATTTAAAAAATAATAGTCACTGCAATACTATACAGAACGTTAAGTTTTTAGTAAGCATTTGACATGTGTGTTTCAGGTCATGGTCCCAGAAAAATTTCTGTAGAAACCAGGTAGACAAACTGTACTTACTAATTTTCTGTCTCTTGATAATATAAGCACTTAATTAAGGGGACTTGAAGAAGTGGTAGTAAAAAAGTGAAGATGGGAACTCTCATATGGCTTTAAAAATGACATAGTTTTAAGCATGCATTTGAAATTAATACCTATATATATGTGTCTAATTCCACAAGTTCATTGATAGAGTAAATAGCTCATTTTCAAATACTGAAACTACGCTATGGCAGAAGAGTAAATTCACTGTTTATTTCTGGAGACAATTTGTTTGATGTGTGCAATAAATAAATCACCATATTCATAAAATAATTCCATTTATAATTTTCCTCTTCAATACATTTCAATAATACTGAAGGTAAAATTTTAATTAAAAATATAAAAGAGGTAGAGTGAGGCCCAATAATATGTTGTAGGTGAAATGGAAAAACAAGGGTAGGAAATGCTTCCTTACCCAGCTCATTCACATGAGAGCCCATTTATTCTCTTTACTCCATACGAGTCCTACTTCTGACTCAAATTTCAGTCAAGCATTGAGGGAGCAGGAAAATTAGCAGAATAAGTCTGGTTACATATACAATACATAGTTATACTTCTGTGGTACATGCAATCATAACACTTAGGAGAAGGTCTGCTCACATTATCATGCTCCTCTAAAGGGCAACACCTTTCAAAGCCAACAATATAGACACAAATAGTTTTGCCATTTGTCAACATAAAGAAGCATCTAAACATGACAATATACGAAGTTCCTTCTACATGTTAATAAAAATTCCTATGCTTTCTGCAGTAAAAACTCCATTTTTAAAATAACCAAAAAATCATGCAGCACATCTACAGAATTTTTAAGTATTTTAAGCCATTTTCACAGTTTTCTTTTTGTTTTGTCAATTCTATTTTTATTAATAAGATTTTTCCATTTTGTCGCAGGCTTTGCTAAAGTTCTTTCTCTATTTTCCCACATTGAAACACATACTGGAAAGTAATTATATCAGATGTATTATTCTACATCATCTGCAAAACTAATAATACTTAATAAATTTTATTATTTGTCTTCAAATATTAAATGGCTCATTTTACAGTAACTTTGCCAATCCTTGGAACAAAGAACTACATCCTGGAAATAAAAATCTAAACCAGATGTCTTCCTCAGCCAGCTTTTATAGGTCAGAAATCTCGTGTTTTCCACTTACAATCTGACCTCAATTAATGAAGCCTTTTAGAGGACACTAGATTATTTTTGTATAATAGGAGTTTAAATTGAAAATGTCTTGATTTTTTTTTAATTAAAACACTCTATATGACATGACCCAGTTCCATATAGCAGGAAATTTTGGATTTTTTAGGCTATACTACTATGTAACAATTCGAATTTTTGTCAAACTGCTTTTGGAAGCTTTTGTTGATGTGTAAAATAACTTTGCAAGAGCTAAACTGCCACTATTAACCTAAGTAACACTACATCTTCCGGCTTTCAACAGCTCAAGATAACCCTATGTTCAACTATATGAAAGCCATGAGCATGTTTCTATAGCTCTCATTCCATCTGTCACTCAATAAACATCAGTCACTCAATAAACCTCTTTTTTCCTTCTCTTTTGAGTTTTTAAATCACAGCCCTATTGTTCATTTTAATGGATAATTACAGTACCGCTTATTTGCTTTAGCTTATTCTTCTTAAATTGTAATAATTATGTTAATGGATTTCTGCACATTTCCAATAATTTTATTATAGACACACAAGAAATGTAGGGAAGAAACAACCTCCCCTTCATCTATTGCTTTTTAACAGGGCACTGGATATTGCAGTTTAGTGTATTTTGTTTCTTTTCAAAACAAAACTCCCTTGCCTTAGAGTGATAATCTTGTTCCAGCCTGGAATCTGATCCTGCTACCTGTTTGTACTTGCTCATTTTCATTTGGCGATTCCTGTCTTCTACATCCATTGCACCTGTTAAGTAAAAGAAAAAAATAAAATAAAATAAATACACAAGCAGTTCTCAATTCCAAGTTTCAAGTTATACTCATGGAAGTTTTAACAGAAAGAAATGAAATCTGATTTACTTAAATAACAGTATATAATTTGTTTCTGAAGGATAATTTTGCAGGAAACCAGAAAGTTGTAGGAGGATGAAAATAGTAGTTAAGTAAGTAAGTGTTGCATTATCTACACAATTCAAGTGAAACCAACTTTGTGGAAGAAATGAATGTAAATGGAACACATTATTTTCATAAATAGAATTTTAGTATTTCAAAAGTATTCAAGAGAAACTGGGTTTTCAATTAAAAAAATAAATAAATAAAAAGGAATATAAAGGCAGCCTGCTTATTTTGAGTGTACTTTGAGTGGAGATCCTGGTTCTACATTTGTTGTAATGTGATATACCAAATTACTAATCAGGTAATGACCACAGGTTAGCAGACCTTACATTTACTATTTCAGCATATTCCTAGTATGCTCAAATTTTAAAGATGTGTAAAGGAATGTTAAAGAGCCACCCAGTGGCGTCACTGTACAACATTTCAATGACGCACAGCTTCAAGAACGATTTCAGGATTCACTCTTCTTGAACCAAAAACATAATCAGTGTCTCGTAGGGATGGGCTCTCACTACATGGCTTAGGCACCAGCTGTTTTTAACCAACTGCTACTGTAACACCACAATTAACTAGGTAAAATAATAACAAAGTAAGTGCCAAAGTTGAAGCGGAAGAGTGAGAAACAGGAAGATAGAAGGAGGACAACGGTCCAGAATTTAAATAAAAGTATATTTTCAAACAAAATATAGTTATCTATTATACACACAGGCTTGATTCTCTTCCACTTTAACATGGTATAAATCAAGAGTTATTAATTATAAAGTGAATGCTAAAAAGTATTCATTTTGACTCATATTTGTCTTAAACTTTCCATAATTTTAACACAAAAGTTGTCTGGGATTAAAATTTCAGAATCCCACTACTCATAAACGTACATTATATGTATTGAACAATTTGGACTTTATTTATGGAACTGAGATTGAAATATTAGATTCCAGTTTACTACATAAATCTGATTTTAACTCTAAACCTCAGTTCTAATTTGTAATCTAATATTAAAGTAGGGCTTTGCACAGCGCCTCTGAGCTTTGTATTTTCTTTCTTAACAGCAGTAATAGTAGTAGTATATATTATGAGACCTGCCAGCTAAATCTTGTGGCACTTCATAGGAAACCTGGAAGGAAGGGGTGAAAGGAAGAGTGAATGCAATAAGGCTAAAGTGTACTTTTATCTATAAACCCTCTGGCTTCTGATTTTTATATTTAAACTCTCCATCCTTACTCCCTACAAACAACATGAATGAAAAGACTTCATCAAAACTTTCAAAAGAAACAAAAATCAAGAAATAAGAATGAAAAAGAATAAATGGCATTTTATAGAGAAAAGCAAAATGGAAAAAAAGACAGCAGTAGATGAAAATTCCTAAAATAAAAACCAGCTAGTTTTTCCTATCAGAATTTTCCTCAGCCATTATAGGCCTCAAAGCAGTATTTCCCAGATTACCATTAAGATGCAGTGTGGCTTTTTTTTTTTAAGGATTGAGTTTTAAAAGCTCTAAAGATTTTTTTTTTTTCCCTCTGGAAAGTAAAGACTTTAAATTGGAAAAATACATTTTTTTCTTTTTTCTTTATTTTTTTTTCCAGTGGCAGAAGTAATATATAAGTGTTTTTTAAGTAAAATACTGTAACTTTTGTTCAAAGAAAGAAACTGTATTTTGCTGAAATCATAACATTCTGCAAATCTACTTGTCATTTTTCAGTAGCATAACAAAAGAGATACTTTTCACTAAAAGGGAGATTTTGACAAGTTTTCTTATGAACTTTTCTTATGAAATCATCACATATGCTTTTTTATCCCCATTCTGTCAAATTTCAGAAAATTAAAAGAAGTGATAAAATAAGACCTCTTGAGCATAAATTAGGAATTTCACAATTACTTGTGAAAGTACTCATTCTTATGTATGATCAGTTGGCAAAGTGAAGGTTAGGTTTCCACAAATCCAACTGCCTATGACTGGCAAAACCAAGCACTCTGAAATATGCCACTGAAAATGTGGGTATAACATGTAAGCCCTTGGTGTGAGTCCTCTGTAGCAAAATAAGATTGGTGGCTCATTTTAGTCTGAAGAGAAAAACAAGACAGCAAAATTTAGAAAAAAAATAATTATTCAACTCCTATCAAATTATTTAAAGATCTAACTTGCTATGTATTTTTGAAACTGCCTTCAACAAGTGAGTGAATTCAGTTATATGCAAAAATGGGGCAGTGCAAAGTTTATTATGCAGAAGACCAGCTTTGGTTCTACTATGCATGGAACTGACATGCAGAAAGAGCGTGCAGGGTTACTGGCTGCCACAGGCTAATCTTGGTGTAACAAGCCAGATGCAGCCATGATCTGGATGGGAATAAGAAAAGAAAGGGAATAAGTGCCGTGTGTCACGGCACTTCCCGTTCACATGGTCCAGCATGCATGCATATAGCACTAAGCGGTGGAAATGTAGGGCTATCAACATCCCCACTTCTGCTGTCAAATCTATACTTAACTGAAACCTATATGTGGGAGCTTAGCATGAGCAGAAGGTACTTCCAGACATTCCAGTAGCCGTTAGGTGCACTAGGAAGCTTCACCTCCTAACATGATTTTGATAACCAAGGCTAAACATCAGTCCTGTATTAAGGACTTTAATCAGGAGGTGCTTATGGAGTGTGTGTTGGCAAATTGGAACTAACTTGAATCTAGCTAATAGTGCTGACACTGTAGGAGCATAAGCTTTTGTACTGGTAGCTCAAGGTTGTCTCAGCCCAGAGCACAGCTCAACACATTTTCAGGACTATAGAGACACTAGGAAAAAAAAAGCTGCTTATGATATACTTCCATGTAGTGCCACAATGTACTAAAGTGTATGCAACTGAATTTTGGCCAGGCAAAAGTGAGTTATTCAAACTTCAGCCATAGGAACACAAAAAATTAAGAAAGACTGATGTGAGAACAAAATCTGGTGTTGCTCACCAAACACAACTGGGATCATTGCACTGTAGGCAACATCTTGGGAGTTTTGCTTATTTTGAACAACTCTCTAACATTAAAAGCCCCGTGGCCAGAAGGTTAGCTCAGTGGGGTTTTCATTAGCACAGAGAAATTGTATCCTGACAAATAACTAGCTGCTCTTTCAATATGAGCCATTCACCATATTTTCAGAGGAGAGTGTGCTGAAGGAAAGAAGCACAACTACAGTCCACACATGTGAGAGGAAGGTTCCAAAGCACTGTGCACAGCAACCCTGTAACCTGTCCTCAGATCCACAAGGATGGCAGTGAGGGACTGATTTCTGCCAGAGCTTAGCACTAGTGACTAAAGTAGGTTGAGCCTTAGGCCACATGAATTGGACTTTAACCTCTGGTTTTGTCTATGGAAATGTAACCACTTGATAAAAAAGTGTAAGCAAAACTTTAACTACAGGACATTCTGTAAGAAAAGATAAGAAAATGTCTCAAGACAGACAAAAAGGGAGCCTGGAAGCTGTGGGAGCATATCAGAAGACAAGACCCCAGATGCAACAAACTACATGTTTCTTGCTAAAAATTTTAAGTTACTTTCATTCTTTCTTTCTTTGCCTTCTCCAGTGGGAATTATTGAACCATTCTAGCTTTTACAGATGCTGGCAATGGTACTGTATTTGGAGAAGGAGTTTGCTGTACAATAGGGCTTCTGGGACACAGAGAGTAAAAGGAAAATCTGGGGTTTGGAAATAGAGTGGAGTAAATTAAATATTTGTGCAAGATTTAGTTTTGGATAGGCATGGACAAAAGGGATACAAAATTTGGGAAGCACAGCAGCTCAGGCACGGGAAAAAACGAGTGATGAGTGGACTATAGAAACACAGAGATTTTGGAAGTCAGAAATCTGTAATAGAGAATAAAAAGGCAGAGTGCAGGTGAGAGCATGCTGCCTGGAGTGGGGAGGACAGAACAGCAGTCTTAAGCTGCACAAGAGCCTTCTTTAGTTGCTTCTGGTCTCTTCCCATTTCTCACCCTAAGTTGACTCCCTTGATAAAACAAAGGAAATGCATTTGGGAAAGCCATTTCTCAGTTCCCATTTCCTATTGTCTCTTTTGAAATCCACCAAATACATCAAAATTGTGATCCACTCTACAGTACAGATGTGCTTAAACGTAATAGATCAAAGAACTTAAGGGCAAAAACATAAAAATATTTTTAATGTTACCCTACCTGTATCCCCATTCTCTGGATCTGCTTTCTTTTCTTCTATAAACAAATGAAAGCAATACATAAAACAAAAAAAAGAGGGAGAGAGAAAATGCAGAAATAATAATAAAAGTAATATAAATCATGAACTAAAAAGGAAAAATGAATAAAACCCACCAAATTAATTTAATTTGATGAGTTTAGTCAAACAACCAAGTATGGTGCTCCACATTCAGAGGCATATTCACTGCATGCTAGTGTTTACATTTGTGCACTCTTAGTGAAGACTTACTGGAGGGAACCCATGGGTATTTTGAGCACTTCCAGAATCATTAATACACTCAAACACAAAAGAGAGCAAAGCAGGTGTCAGACATAGTTATGTTACAGCTTCCTTGAACAGGATGACACAAAAATAAAAGTAAAAAAACTCACTTGTGCTGTATATTTTATGCAGTGCACACACAAATTGCAGTCTAATGGTTCAAGCATAAAAATTGAATGTCTTAGAATGGTTTTCAGAAATTACTTTAAATCTTCATCGGTTTAATCAGTTCTCATAGCTTCTACAGGTCAAAAGGTTTAATGGTGATATTACTGTATCTTAAGAGTTAAAAAAAGATGAAGAACAAAAGACACTAAGAGCAATACTCAGATCCCTGCTTATGTACAAAAATCCAGCTGACTGATGCCAACAAATATTCTGAATGCATATCAAAGGTTGCAAATGGCTCAGGGCATTCCTCTGTCACAAAGAAATGAAAATACACTGGATCCCTATCAAATAGTTTGGCAGCCCATAAATACTGCACTCTGAAATCCAAGGTTGGTAATTAATGTGAAAGAATTTTAAGTCAAATGAAATTTACTTTAATTAGAAATACATTATCTTTTAAATAGACTGTTTCTTTTTCTTACTGTAAGTCAAAATTAAATTAAATTAAATTAAATCAAAATGATCCCATGACTATGGAGCAACTACCCCCAAGCTACAAACCAAAAATAGCATGCATTATTAGAATGAAATATTTTTCCAGATTTATTGGTTGTTGAGGGTTGTTCTGAAATTATAATCTCCTTTATAGTACACAGAGCTGTTATATTTTAAGGAAATACCATTTTGTAGATGGCTATCAAAGCAGAAGATGAAGTCATACTTAAGAGAAATCATACCGGGGCAAGGCAGAGGTGTAAAAAAGAAAGGCATGCTTCTGCAGAGAGCATAAATAACGTGCCAACTTTGATAGGATCTGGCACCCCATCCTGTGTGGAATCAGGTTCTTCTGATGGCAATTCTTAGTGGAATTGTTACGCAAATTAATGGGAAACAGATAAGGCAAGCCATAAGCCCATCAGTGGATACCAAGTGGGCTCCTGAAACCTCTACCATTCCCCAACCTTTTTTGCCACATACTGTACAGAGTGTATAAATAAAGCCTTTTGTATTCTTTTGCTTTGGCCTTTCAGTAGCCTGGCCTATGTTGTCTATGTGGGTTGTGGATATTTTTAGGAAAGTAGCAGAAAAAGAGAGATAATTGTGTTTCCTTTTCAAGCACTCAATTGTTACTTTTTAAAATTGCTGTCACCGGTATAAAAGCTACAAATACAAAATGTCTTCTACTACATCACTACTTTACAAAGCAGAAAGCAATTTGATAGCAATACCACTGATTCAACATAAAGCAAAATAGATGAAAGGGAAGTAAGAGTCATTAAAATACTTTGAGTTTGAACTCAGACAGAATGATGATATTTTTAAGTTGTTTCATTTGAATGGGGAAAAGAAATCTTTACTGTGCCTGAAATGTCATCTTAATAAATAAACCTAATACTATATAGGATAATGCATTTTTAAAATGCCTAGAAGTCCATTCATCCATATGTTTGAATGTCTTTCAACCATGAGTCTTTAAATAGAGACCCTGTCAAAATAAGGAAAACTTGAAACCTGTCAGACTTTCACTTGTTCTAGCTCCATATTTAAAAAGTATATAGAAAAATATTTCCAAATTGACTTACAGAAAAGAATACAATAGGATGAGGAAGCATAAAATTCTATTAGATTCTTCAATTTTTAAAGTGTAATTGAAGTGATGTGAAATTTATTACAAATCTCTACAATAAATAAGTCCTCTAGATTTTTACAAGAATGGTCAGCACAGTGGATCTTACTCTCCAAACTAAGCTTTCAATTGTATCACGAAGAGCTGTCTGAAGACATACTCAAAAGAACAGAAGATTAAACTGAGAAAGATCTCACTTGGGTGAGAAGAGCAGAACTGAACAATAATGGTATTTCCAACTGACCAAATAAAACAATGCTAAATTCTCAACAGCAAAGATCTTCACAGCAGCTATTGGCCACAGCAGCTATTGGCTGAAAAAAATTCACAGCAGGTTCAGTAGTAATTAATGCTTTCGGATCCCCAGTTATTAGGTGGTCAAATCAAAAAGCTATAAAGAGCTTAATGTCTTCAAAATGCTAAAATCCAATAAATCACTATGAGATTATTTCAAAATGTCTCAAACTGAATAATATAAAATGGCAGTCACAAGTTATTCCTAAAAATGTTTGTCTATTTCTCTTTACATGATTTCTTCTCCTGGAAGGCATGCTAAGGCACATGAAATCAACAAGGTGCCTGGTGACAGCCAGCATGGCTTCACTAAGGGGAAATCCTGCCTGACCAATCTGGTGGCCTTCTATGATGGGGCTACAGAACTGATGGACAGGGGTAGAGCAGTTGATGTCATCTACCTGGACTTGTGTAAAGTGTTCGACACTGTCCCACGCGACATCCTTGTCTCTAAATTGGAGCGACATCAATTTGATGGATGGACCACTCGGTGGATAAAGAACTGGCTCGATGGCCTCACACAAAGAGTTGTGGTCAATGGCTCAATGTCCAGCTGGAGACCAGTAACGAGTGGTGTCCCTCAGGGATCCGTGTTGGGACCGGTCTTCGTTAACATCTTTGTCACTGACATGGACAGTGGGATTGAGCGCGCCCTCAGCAAGTTTGCCGATGACACCAAGCTGTGTGGTTTGGTTGATACCCTGGAGGGAAGGAATGCCATCCAGAGGGACCTTGACACACTTGTGAGGTGGGCTGATGCCAACCTCATGAAGTTTGCTACCATGCCACGTGCAAGGTCCTACACCTGGGTCAGAGCAATCCCAGGCACAGCTACAGGTTGGGCAGGGAAGAGATTCAGAGAAGCCCTGTGGAGAATGACTTGGGGGTGTTGGTTGATAATAAAATGAACATGAACCGGCTTCAGTGTGAGCTCACAGCCCACAAAGCCAACCGTATCCAGGGCTGCATCAAAAGGAGCGTGACCAGCAGGGCAAAGGAGGTGATCCTGCCTCTCTACTCTGCTCTCGTGACACCTCACTTGGAGTATTGTGTGCAGTTCTGGTGTCCTCAACATAAAAAGGACATGGAACTGTTGGAACAAGTCCAAAGAAGGGCCACGAGGATGATCAGGGGACTGGAGCACCTCCTGTATGAAGACGGGCTGAGGAAGTTGGGGCTGTTGAGCCTGGAGAAGAGAAGGCAGCATGCAGCCCTCATAGCAGCCTTCCAGTATCTGAAGGGGGCCTATAGGGATGCTGGAGAGGGACTCTTCGTTAGAGACTGTAGTGAAAGGACAAGGGGTAACAGGTTAAAACTTAAACAGGGGAAGTGTAGGTTGGATATAAGAAGGAAATTCTTTCCTGTTAAGGTGGTGAGGCAGTGGAATGGGTTACCCAGGGAGGTTGTGAATGCTCCATCCCTGGCAGTGTTCAAGACCAGGTTGGACGAGGCCTTGGGTGATATGGTTTAGTGTAAGGTGTCCCTGCCCATGGCAGGGGGGTTGGAACTAGATGATCTTAAGGTCATTTCCAACCCTAACAATTCTATGATTCTATGATTCAACATCATCACATTACTTAGGAATTTTCTACATCACTTGAACTAACTTTGGCTTACGAAGTGAAAAGCATATACTGTAGCCTCTGGTTTAATAATGTCAATTTAAGAAGTAAAGTTTTTCCAGAAATAAACAATTGGGAGGAAAAAAAAATGATGCTTCGATCAGTGAGACATTTCTGTACATTACAAAAAATAGCTGCATGTTTCCAGCTTACTCAGAATACAGATTTGTTGAAGTATAATGAAGAAATATAGAGATGAGCTATAGGGAAAGAGAAATTGAAATGCTGAAAGATCCTCTCTCAAAGCCTTCTTCCACCATCACAGTTGACATTGCTGTTATAATGACCATTGACATGTAAAATGGTAGACACGGCCATGTTTCCATGGTCTTGTAATGATCCAGTCTTTCTAACAGGTATTAATATATTGAATAGGTATCTCACAATCTAACATGCATCTGGAAGATAAAGTGAACAAAAAAAGAATTCTAATCTAGAGGCTCATACTAGAGCAGACTTAACAATAACCAAAACTGATCTAAAATGGCCTTGACCAGCTATATTTCCTTGGAAATGCCTTAACTCAATGAGCTCTGCTGTTCTGTTGGGAACCTGGAGGTTTCCACAGCCAAAGCACCCCAGCAGGCTTCACCCACCACACTGAAGGAAGTCCCATGGAGCAGGAACCCCAAGTACCTGGAAGCAGAACATGACAATCTCCAAATATATCCAAACAGAATAATATTTCCACAGAAGAATCAGGATAGCAGAGTTCTCCCTAGACACGGGATACTGATGGGGAACTGTTGAAGTTAACAAAAAATTACTGCCTTCCTTGGGAGAAGAAGAGGGAGACTCAAGGTTACAACTGGGAGTTAGGTACTGGGCTTAATAGCCTTCCTCCCAGGGTCTGAAAATCAGCAATGTAACTAGCAATTAAATGAAATAAATTGTATTTATAGAGTGGATAAATTAGCTTAACAGCTTCTTGAATATTGAGTCTGATTTTTCGAAGTAGTAAATATTATTAAATAACATTCTATTTAAAAATCAAATATATACAAGGAGCCCTAATTTTGGTAAGTATTTGAAAAATGCTAGCCAAATTTCTTACTTGAGATTTCTCTTGAAATGCTATTTA